AATGTTCAAGTTTATACAAGATTCTACAATATATCTATGTTCTATGGCAGGGGTAGTCTACCCTTTTATACCTACCGCCCACTTTTGTATCTCTGTTAGTAGTAAATCCACCCACCGGTTCCACAGTAACGGTGATTTTATGAAAACCTAATGAAAATGTTTTTAAATAATGCTATGAAATTTTTTTTAAAAAGTCAATTAAATTTAAAAAAAGGAAAGTGCTTCAGTATTGGACAAAACCCCTACCGCCCACCATGAAAGCTGGAACGCCCACTAGTGGGCGGTAGGGAGCAGGTTGCCTACCACTGATCTAGATAATGCTCAGTTTAAACAGAAATTATTAGCAGAAGCTGGCTTCAGCACGCACACTTAACAGTTGCAGTCTCTCATAACCATTTCCAAATAAACACTGTCCATATACACACTTTTTGTGGGTATACAATCTCTTCCCGGAGGAAAGTATTTTCACCGGCGTTCTTGTCAAAAAGACCCCAGTCCATCTTCAAGTCCCAGATAAGAGTATAGCAGGAACTAATGAAGTAGAAGACAATCCACAAATAGAAGAATACTTGGTAGTCGTTGTGTTTTTGAACTATAAGAAAGAAAAACAGTAATGTTAAATAAGAGTATATAGTGCACACTTCACTCCATAAAATGGAATTTAGTTAATCATGTCTCAGATTACTTTTGGCAGTGGATGGTATTTTATATAAGTGCAAACCCCTATAACACTGCATTTAAAGAAATACTACGTAGTATCTCCTTTCCACATCTATAAAAAGCCTTGATTATTCACATCTGAATAACCACTTAGATTCTTATTAGAGTATAGTTGGTTAAAAGGAAGTTACCTTTACATGCTACAGGGAAGGATTATCAATGACATTCTGAACTCCACCCCACAAAGGTCATAAACACTCATCTTTGTACAGTGTGAGGATGTATGTTTATTTTTCTTTAAAGGATGAGGATACCAAGAGTTTCAGTGTAGCTCTGCAATTCATTATTGTGTTAAAATATTTTAAATTGCTTACTCCTCCCAAGAATACATATTATTTGACTGTCTCAACCTTGTGTTCAACAGGCTTCAGTGTGTGTGTGTTGTGTGTGTGTCTGTGTGTTTAATGATAACAAGATGGTGGGGTTATATACAGTATGTCAGTATCTGATTACAACTGTGGAGCATAAGGAAGATTGAATAATAATGAATGAGTACAGAATAGCAATAAGTTCATAACAACCAATTAAAAGAGTTTAAAATTACATGCAGATCGTATTTTTAAGGCGAACTACTCTCCAAAAAGGAACTTTATTGCCTATCTACACATTGAGAAAGATCATGTGAATAAGCCAAAAGGTTATTGGAAGAGTGTTCTGTGCATGGTTGAGACTAAAATAGCACTTTTGAGCTTGAATAAACAAAAAAAATAGTTATGTTTGGGGAAAGGCATTCCAGTAAAAGAACCCCATTCCATCTGTAAAATGTGGTGATGGCAGAATTGTGATTTGGACTTGCTTTATTATCTCTGGACCAGGATGGGTTGCCACCATTAATGGAACTATGTATTCTGAATTTTGCTAGCATTTAACATGGCTTTTGATGGTTTACTAAACCTATGAAATAATGTTTGTTTAATTTATTTGCCAGCTACCTTGCTGTGGGGCTACTCTAAGTGGCTTACAATAATAAAAAGGAAGAAAATGAAAGACATGTAAACTGTACACAATGAGAATACATCAATATGATATCCAAAATGATGGACAGGTGGAGAGCAGAGCAAAGGCGGGGGAGGGGGTCTGCCATCAATCCAACAGTCACCTTCAGCATGGACCTCCCCCATCTGGTCCCTAGGCCAAGGAGCAGAACTTTAGGCTCTTGCAGAAGGATAGGAGGCTTGTGTTAGATCTTATCTTGAGAGAGTAAAATGTATGGGAGACCTTATTTAAATAATCATACCATTAGTAAGAAATAATTTATCTGTCAACAAAGTATTTATCTGAGACAGCCAGATACTTTCATGGATAGCTTGATAATAAGAAATTGTGTATGTGAAATATGTTAAACTCTTAGAGAAACTATTGCATAAATGAAGATTGCTTTTGTTACTGTAACCAATAAGGATGCCATTCAAATTTTCTCCAGTAGATGGAAATGGATGCTTTCACATACAAAACATGTAACTCAATGTTGCACACACACAAAAAAATCAAATAAATAATAAGAATATCATCAATCCACTTAACGGTTATCTACCAGGATATTTTACAATAAAGAGTGAATAGAAATGGTATCCCTGGGGGAAATGGGGAGCTTGATCCTTTTTTTGTTTTTAGACTAAATTCATGAAAATAATTCAGATGTAGTAAGGATTACTTTAAATTCTACGTATAGTAGAATTTAAATTAATACAGGATACTTTTTCCACTAAAATATATATTAAATATTTGTCCAATATTGTTTCATCTAATTTTCCATATGCATTTACATTTTACATTGTAAAGTCTCCTCTATTACGTATTTTGGGTACATGTTTTCATATAATTAATACAAATAATACAATAGCAGAGTTGGAAGGGACCTTGGAGGTCTTCTAGTCTGACCCGCTGCCTAGGCAGGAAACCCTATACTGTTCC